TTGGTTGGGAGGTCGACGCTAGCCTTGTACTGTGGACGCGGTCCGCCGACTAGAGCACCTAGAGCATTTTATTGTGTGGACACACACAATCGGCTGTATACAATTGATTTCAATAAAACCCGCTTCTATAAATTCGAACTAATTTCGTAGTGTAGACATACCCCCAGTTAATCTGAGAGGAGCAATGCTGGCAGCTGAAGGGAGTCAAGGAACAGCTGGGCTGGACAGTGAAAACACTGGAGCTTGATTTGATTGACTGATTTATTAAGCGTAGGCTCCATCTTATACAGCTTTTATACAGATTTAATTAAATTGGTTTCTGACCAGCAACAAACTAAATTTATGCTATTTTAAAGCACTCTTAAACTGGTTTAAATGTGTCCACACAAAGGGGTTGTGCTGCCTTTACTAAATCACTTTAGAAACCAGTTTAGTTAGGGCTTGTCTACATGGGGAAATTTACCAGCATAGTTAAACGGATAGAATTATACTGCTGTAAGGACATAAGAATGGCCACAGTGGGTCAGACCAATGGTCCCACTTGGCCAGTATCCTGTCTTCTGACAGTGGCTGGTGCCAGATGCTTCAAAGGGAATGAACAGAACACGAAAATTATCTAGTGATCTGTTCTCTCTCATCCAGTCCCACCATCTGACATTTGGCAGTTTAGGGACACTCGCAGCATAGGTTGCATCCCTGACCATCTTGGCTAATAGCCATTGATGGACCTAGTCTCCAGGAACTTATCCAATTTTTTTTTTTAACACAGTTATACTTTTGGCTTTCACAAAATTCCTGGGCAAAAAGTTCCACAGGTTGACTATGCATTGTATGAAGAAATACTTCCTTTTGTTTGTTTTAAACCTGCTGCCTATTAATTTCATTTGGTGACCTCTAGTTTGTGTGTTATGATGAGTAAATAACACTCTCCTTATTCACTTTCTCCATACCATTCATGCTTTTATAGCTCTCTATCATAGCCCCACTTAGTCATCTCTTTCCTAAGATAAACAGTCCCAGTCTTTTTAATCTCTCATCATATAGAAGTTATTACATACCTCTAATCATTTTTGTTGCCCTTTTCTGTACTTTTTCCAATTCAAATATATATTTAAGATGAGGCAACCAGAACTGCACACAGTATTCAAGGTGTGGGTGTTCCCTAGATTTCTATAGTAGCATTATGACATTTTCTGTCTTACTATCTATCCCTTTCCTAATGGTTCCTAACTTTCAATTAGCTTTGTTGACTGCCGCTGCACACTGAGTGGATGTTTTCAGAGAACTATCCAGAATGACTCCAAGATCTCTTTCATGAGTGATAACAACTAATATAGACCCCCATCATTTTATATGTACAGTTGGGATTATATTTTCAAATGTGCATTGCTTTGTACTTATCAACACTGAATTTCATCTGCCATTTTGTTGCCCAGTCACCCAGTTTTGAGAGATCCCTTTGTAGCTCTTCATAGTCTGCTTTGGATTTAACAATCTTGAGTAATTTTGTATCATCTGCAAACTTTGCCACCTCACTGTTTACCCCCTTTTCCAGATCATTTTTGAATATGTTGAACAGCACTGGTCCTAATACAGATCCTTGGGGGACCCCACTATTTACCTCTTTCCTATCTTTTAATCAATTACTGAGCCATGAGCGGACCTTCCCTCTTATCCCATGACTGCCTACTTTGCTCAAGAGCTCTTAGTGTGGGACCTTATCAAAGGCTTTCTGGAAGTCCAAGTACTCTATATCAATTGGATAACCCTTGTTCATATACTTGTTGAAACTCTCAAAGAATTCTAACAGATTGGTGAGGCATGATTTCCCTTTACAAAAGCTATGTTGACTATTCTTCAGCATATTATGTTTATCTATGTTTCTGATATTTCTGTTCTTTACTATTGTTTCAATGAATTTGCCTGGTACTGAAGTTAGGTTCACTGGCCTGTAATTGTCAGGCTCTCCTCTGGAGACTTTTTTTTTTTAAATTGCATTGTTAGTTATCCTCCAGTCATCTAGTACAGAGGCTGATTTTAGCAATAGATTACTGTATATACCGCAGTTAGTAGTTCTGCCATTTCATATTTGATACAGTGTTGTTGTAGCCGTGTCAATCCCAGGATATTAGAGAGACAAGGTGCGTGAGGTATTATCTTTTATGGGAGTAACTTCACCATGAATGATCCCTTGAAATATGTGTTAACTAGTAAAGCTAAACAGTCTGTTCCACTTTGTGTTTAGCTGGGACACTCTGAGTATGTTTCCCAGCCCTGAAGAAGAGCTCTGTGTAAGCTGGAAAGCTCGTCTCTCTCACCAACAGAAGTTGGCCCAATAAAAGATATTATCTCACCCATCTTGTCTCTCTAATTTCATATTTTGAATTCCTTCAGAACTCTTGGGTGATATCGTCTGGTCCTGGTGACTTATTACTGTGTAATTTATCAATTTGTTTCAAAACCTCCTCTATTGACACCTCAATCTATGACAGTGCCTCAGATTTGTCACCTAAAAGGAATGGCTCAGGTGTGGAAATCTCCCTCACATCCCTGCAGTGAAGACCAATGCAAATAATTCATTTAGCTTCTCTGCAGCAGTCTTGTCTTCCTTGAGTGTTCCCTTAGCACTTTGATCATCCAGGGCTTGTACACACTAACGCTTACTTCAGTATAACTCAAGTCACTCAAGGGTGTGGAAAAGCCCCCCTCCCCCTCCATGAGCAATGTAAGTTACACCAACCTACTCGCTGGTGTGGACAGCACTGTGTCGGTGGGAGAAGCTTTCCCGTCAACATAGCTAACGCTGCTCAGGGAAGTGGAGTAATTACGCCGATGGGAGAGCTCTCTCCCGTCAGCATAGAGCGTCTGCACTAGCAGCGCTACAGCAGCTCCACTCTAGCGATTCTAGTGTAGACTAGTCCCCAGTGGCCCCATTGATTGTTTGGCAGGCTTCATGCTTCTGATGTACGTCTTTCTTTTTCTTTTCTTTTCTGTTTTCTTTTGCTGTTAGCATTTGTGTCTTTTGCTAGTTGGTTTATACTCTTTATACTTTTACACTTGCCAGAATTTCTGCTCCTTTCTATTGTCCTCAATAGGATTTGACTTTCAGTTTAAGTTGGCTGCCTTACTGTTTTTGTTTTGATTTTTTATTTGTAGTGTACATTTAGTTTGAGCCTCAATTATGGTCTTTTAAAATAGTTTCCATGCAGTTTGTAGACACTTCACTCTTGTGACTGTTCCTTTTAATTTCTGCTTAACTAACTTCCTCATTTTTGTGTAGTCCCCCTATTTGAAGTTAAATTCTACTCTGGTGGCTTACATTGGTACCCCTCCCCCCCCCACCCCGGATGTTAAATTTAACTACATTCTGGTCACTATTACCATGCACTCCAGCTATATTCACCTCTTGGACAGATCCTGTGCTCCACTTGACCAAATCAAGAATTGCCTCTCCCTTTGTGGGTTCCAGGACTAGCTGTTGCAAGAAGCGGTCAATTAAGGTATCAAGAAACTTTATTTCTGCATCCTGTCCTGGGGTGACATGTACCCAGTCGATATAGGAATAGTTTAAATCACACATTATTATTGTTTTTTGTAGCCTTTCTGATCTCCCTGAGCATTTCACCATCACCATTATCATCCTGGTCAAGTGGTCAGTAGAATGTTCCTACGACTATACTTATTATTCAAACATGGAATTATGATCCATAGAGATTCTATGACACTGTTTGTTTCATTTAAGATTTTTTACTATATTTGACTCTATGCTTTCTTCTACATATATTGTCACTCTCCCACCTGCATGAACTACTCTGTCACTCCCATATATTTTGTACCCTGGTATTACCATGTCACTTTGATGATCATCATTACACCAAATTTCTGTGATGTCTATTATATCAAGGTCCTCATTTAACACCAGGCACTCAAATTCACCCATCTTGGAATTTAGACTCTAGTATTTGCATACAAGCACTTATAATATTTGTCAATAATTAGTTGTCTGCCTTCATGTGATCTAATTGAATGGGACTCTTTTTCGATTGACTTTTTCTCTTCAGCTCCTACCCATACTTCAGCAATTTTTATCCTCTCCTCTTTACTAGGATTTAGAGGAGCCCCTTTGATAAATCCTCCCCTAAGGCTCTCTCTGTCCAACCCATGTGCTCTTTAACATCTGTCGCCTTTCCCCCAGTCCTTAGTTTAAGGGCGTTATACCAGCAGAGCTATATCAGTATATTTATGCAGCTACGCTTGTAAAAATTTCCCCATGTAGACAACCTTTAAACTAGTACAACTGTTGTGTGAAAAATGTTATACTCCCACGAGGAGGTGGGGGCCTCGCAGGGAGGTGGGTGGAGGAGGGGAGTGACTCAGCGGATGGTGGGGCCTTACGGGAAGGGGCAGGGATGGGAAGATGCAGACTGAGGGCTGGTCTTGGGAGGGGGGAAAGGTGGAGTGGGGGTAGGAAGAGGAGCATAGTGGGGGAGGCAGCACGGGGGGAAGAGCGGGAGTGGGGCTTTGGGATGGAGCACAGGCATGGCCACGGCCCAGGCATCCACTCAAATGCCTCCAAATGAAAGTGCACAGCATCCTGTTTGGGAAGGCTTAGCCTCCCCTGGCCTATTATACCTGCAGCCCATGGTCCATCTGCTGGGCTTCCTTCCCCTCACTTGCTCAGTCTTGGTGCTGGACTCCCAGCCGCTCTGGGGCCTCAGGTGCTTGTCCCTCGTGCTCAGGCACAGTCATGCCCTGCGGGGCAGAAGAGGTTGGAGTGTTTTGGGGAGGTCGACGCGGGAAGGCATTCAGCATAAGGTTGGCACCCATTGACTCTGTTATTTGGGGATGAATGGGGCTATTGCCATCAATCTTGGGGCCATTGTAGCCATGCCAGTCACCAGTGATGCTCCAATAGAATCTCCACAGCTAGGAGGGTAAATTCTGTAGGAAACCTCAAAGAGAGACACCCCCCCTCAAAAAAACAAAACAAAACAAAACCGATGACACCCCAAACCTTCAGGAGGGGCAAGAATTTTGTCCCTCCCCGACTGCCATTCCCCTGGCTCTGCCCATCCCCCTCCACAGCAGTGTCCAGTGAGGGGTACTAGAGGCTCAGAGATTCATCGCCCTACTCATTCCTGTACACCCCAAGATCTTCCCTGGAGGACCGGAGGTGCGGATGCTGCAGGAACCTGGGCGAGCAGCTTCCAGCAGATGAGGGTCTTAATGTTGTGGTACCCAGTAACACCAGAGGGCTCAGGTTATTGCTAAGGGAAGGACGGTGGCTCTCTTCCTCTGCCTGCACAGCATAGATTCCAGATGTGCTAGCCAGCCCCTGAGCAGCGTCTCAGCTGGGGACAGGAGAATTTTAGGGATACTGACACTCACTTGCCACTTCTTAGGCTGGCTGGGCCAGGACCCTGCTGTGATAAGCACCCCCGCCCCCCTCATGGACTCTCCATGCAGTTGTGCTCAGAGGGGAACGTCTCAGGGACTATCTGCTATCTGTTCTTTCCAACATCTTTCCCTTTCCATCCAGTATTCAGTGGGAAACAACTAGAATCATTGCATAGATTCCAAGGCCAGTCGTGACCATTAAACCATCTAGCCTGACCTTCTGTGTGACACAGGCCAATTCCTGTTTGAGCTAGAGCTTATCTGAAAAAAATCAATCTTGGTAAATCGTTCTGATGCCTATCTTCACTATTGACTTCCAAATATGTGGTTCCATATCCTCTGGAATTTCATTTTGGAATAAAACCAGAAACAAAATTTCCAAACATCCTATTCTGACATTTTCACAGTGAAACATTTTGAAACGTGCTGATTGAACTGAAACAATTCGGTGTGTGTGTGTGTTAATTTTTCATTCCAATTTTGTACCAAGCCAAATTTCAAAATCAGGAAGAGAGCTTCCCTCCCCCACACAGGTCACCTACACAGCAGGTTACCTTGTTCTTTGCCTGGCTGAGGGGCTTCTTTAGAAGTATTTTATTGACTCCTATGTATAGGACATTCTGTCAGCCTCATGTATTTAGCTGGTCCACATCATGATCTTCAGTACATTTCTCCTCACAACACACTTGGGAGGAGGGGAGTGCTAGCATCCAGATTGGGATCTGAGGTGCAGAAAGGCTAAGGGATTTGCCCAAAAGCAGGCTGTAGCAGCACAAGGGATTGAACCAAGGTCTCCCAAGTGCTAAGCTAAATCCTGGACCGTTGGACCACCCTTCCTCTTCTCTTATAGCACTCCAGTCTGGTGGTCACAAGGACACAGACAACCAGGGCAAGTCCATATCGCTTCCTGTCCAGCTGCTGATCGAAGAAGAAAAAAAAATCACAGTGATTGTTGCTATGTGGGTGTAACACAAGCTAATCCAGCCCTGCTGTTTGACCCCCCTTAGTGGCTACACTGCATCTAGAGAGCCTGCTGCTTCTTTTGGGTTGTTATGAGTGGGGTAAAACCTCAGTGAAGCTGGTGAGTGTAGCCACCCTTCAACTGGGATAAATGTCAGAAACAATGAAGCTCCTTTATGGAATGAAATAGCTGAAACAATAGCAGCCTCCACCCAAAACAAAAGTACATGTCCCCATCCAGAAACTGAGCTTTGTGGAGAAGTTTTGCTGGCTATTGTTTTGTGAAGGTTTGTGTGTCTGGAAGAGAAGCAGCAGAAAGACCACAGAAGTTGAGGGCTTGGCTACACTTGCAAGTTAGAGCGCATTAAAGCAGCCCCAGGCACCCTAACTCCTTATGTGTCCACACTGGTAAGGCACGTAGCGCTCCTGGACTCTGCAGCTGGAGCGTTCCTGGTAATCCACCTCCACGAGAAGCATAAAGCCCGGGCATCAGTGTGAACGATGTGATTGGCATCTGGAAACATCCCATAATCCCCTGAAGTCAAGTGGCCACTCTTCTCATTGTTTTGAAATCGGCTACAGGAATGCGGATATGCCCTTTCAAAGCTCCATTTCTGACAGCCGGCTGCTTATCTGCTCTGGGACAAATGCTGCTGTTCTGAGTGTGTGTGTATATGTGTGTGTGGGGGGGTCTGCTGCTGTCTGAACCTACAAGACAGCATGCTGACATGCTCTCAGACCCCCAAAACACACTGTCTCTCCCCCCATATACACACAACACACTCCCTGTCACACTCCACCCTCCCCATTTGAAAAGCGCATTGCAGCCACTTGCACACTGGGATAGTTACCATAATGCACTGCTCTTTGTGGCATTGCAAGACCTGCTAATGGGGCCACGCCAGTGCGTTTGCAGCTGACAGTGTAAACACATAGCAGCGTTTTCCCTGCTGTGGTCTCCGAAGGCTGGTTTAACTCCCAGCGCTCCACATCTGCAAGTGTAGCCATGCGCTGAGAGAGAGGGCAGCAAGAAAGCCAGGGAGGCAGCTAAAAAGAGCACTTGCAAGCATGGCCCTGAGAAAAGCCAAGGGAGAGCTTTTGGGCAGAGTGCTAGCTGAAAGAGCCTTTGAGCTGTGATCAAAGAAACTGTCTCCTGTTGTTTGATTCCTTCTGTGTTCAGGAAAACAGGGCTTTGTACATTCTTTGCAAATAAGCAGGACTGCACCAAAGAAACACCTGACTCTATCATTAATTTCTCCTCCTAGTAGAAGCAACTCACAGGACCCCAAAAACTGGCTACCAACTTGGGCCAAAAAGGGGTAACTGAGTTAATGATGCTTTAGTTCAGGCTCTATAGGCTCCTGGGGTGAGGTCCCACGTTGGAAACCTACAGCTGACCCCTGCCAGTAGCATCATTATATGGGTATCTAGGATCAGCGAGGAGAGTCCATGAGGCTGCTTACCATAGCTAGAGCTACCTAATGCAGGATAATGGGGTTTATCAAGACATTTATCTCCTCTGGCCTGCATTACCTGGGTTCACCTAAAGCTAGCTACATGTGTTCGTCCACAGCTCCCACAGAAGTAAATGAGGCCAGGGCCCCAGCTGGTGTGAATCAGCCCTATCTCCACTACAGTCAATCCCCAGCTGGGTGTAAATTGGTGTTGCTCCATTGGACTCAGTGCACCAGCTGAGTATTTGTGCCATAAAATTTACTTATTTAATAGACACTGACTGAAATTCCCCTCATGCAGAGGATCAGCATGAGAGCCAGGCTCTGCTTATTAAATCCGGGTGAATAACTGACTTTTCGGGTCACTGGCAATTCTGAAAGAAATCAGGAAAAAAAAATCAGGTCAACCTGAAAACAATTTTTTTTAAAGTTTAAGTGAATTGAAAAGTCAGAAAAAATTGTTTTGGATTGAACAAGGTTTCTGATTTCAATACTTTTCACATTTAAAAAAATTAAAGGAAATTACGAAACAAAATGTTGTTCCAAACCAAAAATCAAAATCATTTCCAAAAATGTCAAAAAAATGTTTTGGTTTCTTTTCTATTTTTTTTTGTTTCTCCAAAAATTTTCATCCAGCTCTACCATTTACGTCCTGCTCACAGCCTACATTTGCTCGCACACGCACATATACACACACACTTCTCTGTGTGTTCCAAGCATGATTCATAATTAAACAGAAGTAATTAAGATTTATTAATTGTACTACAGTAGCAATGAACAGGCCCAGTTCTGATTGGGGCCCCAATGCATCAAGCGCTACATAAACACATAGAAAGACCTGGTCTCTGTGCCAAAGACTTTACAATCTAAACAAGACAAAACAGAGAAAGAGACAGACTACAGATAAGGAGATGACTGGAAGTTTTCCCCACCTATATATTACCAAATACATATATGAAGTACAGCTAGACTGACAGAGGGATATGCATGGTGATTACGACTGGCCAAAACACATGCTGTCTAAACTTTTTATTGATGGAAATTTGAATTTTGACTAACGCATTTTTCATGAAAAGGAAAATATCTGATTTCTGAGGAAAATATCAATTTTTCATCTAAAAGACAAAACAAAACAAAAAGCAAAACCCTGAGCTCCCTCAAAATGAAATGTTTTGATTTGGAAAATCTGCCAAGGTTGCTTCATGTGAATTGTAGTTCAGTTGCTTCATATCCTCATTCTCCTCTATGGGCCGGGTTCCCCAGCTAGGTTTCATCTCTCATGATGCATTGTGGCCATGGGACTTCCATGATTCACCATCTTCCCTCAGCAAGGCATCATGGGAGATGTAGGCCAATTAAGGAGCCTGGCCCATAAAGGAGAATGGGGGCAAGAAACACACAAACTACATCTCCCATGAGGCACCATGGTGTCATTTCAGAATTGAAATATTTCCATTTTGCATTTAAAAGTTGAAATTTCCTGTGAAAAATTTCAACAAAAGCATTTCCCCCCCCTCATTTTCATTATAATTTTCCATGGGAAATCCCAGTTTCTGACCAACTTTAATGTGATTAGATAGATAGATAGATAAGAGCAGGAGTAGTCAATAGGTGGACCATGGGCCAAATAATAAGTAAATAACATTTTGGGATCTGTTCAAAAGTTCCACCACCAGACACGTTTGAACAGATCCCAAAATGTTATTTACTTATTATCATTATTGTTAGGATTTTTAAAATTAATTTCCCCTGAGTCTGGACCTTGACTATACCTTGACCAAGAAATTTGGACTTTGAGAAAAAATAACTGACTACCCTGGGTTAGAGGGTATTAAATCCCCTTAATCCCTCAAAATAGAGCACAAATGGGACTGAAGTGGGGCTTTGCCCTTGGTCTGGACTCTGCATATGGGTGAAAGAACAGGAAACATCCCTTGAAACACATTTGTGAATGCTATTTCCTGTTTTGTGACCAGCTGCATGGAGCGGGAGCTACAGGATTTTTGTCCATCACTATGGAGAGCTCCAAAATACAGGAATTGCCCAGAATGTATGTGTGTGTGTCTGGGGGGGGGGAATACACCAGATGGCCCAGCTAGCTTGTTATACCCAACTCCTGCCACCCCAGAGAACCAGAGGCCGTCATCACTTTGGGTAGTTTGGGGCTTTAAGAAAAATAAAATTTCCCTTTGGCTCCCAATTCCTCGCAATCCCAGACAAACAATCCATTCATGTAGTGCCCAGCTGCTTCATCACAACCCCTGCTTCCTAAGGCAGCCACTCCCTCCCCAACTCAAATACACACCAATCCCCTTATACTCCTAAGCAATGTGGGCTGAGATTTTCAAAGGAACCTAAGGGACTTAGGACCCCAAATCCCAGGGAAATTCAATGGCAGTTCGCTAACCCCAGGCTACCTATCTATAATGCTGAGAGAGCTCCCATCGCTGTAGCATCTGGGCACCTCACAACCTTCAGTGCATTTGTCCTTGCATACCTCTGTCAGGCAGGGCAGAGCTATAACCCCATTTTACAGATGGGGGACTGAAACCCACACACATGAAGGGCCAGGTTTACAAAGGTACCTAGGTGCCTAAAGCTGCAGATAGGCACCTGGAGGGATTTTTCGAAAGCACCAGAGGAGGTTAAGCACTAGAGCTAGCCAAAAACATTCTGAAGGAATTGTTCTCTGTTGGAAGGGGCATTCTGTCAAAATAGGAGAAATGGATTAGTTCTGATGAAATTTCATTGAGGAAAAATAAAATGAGATCGAAACATGCCTAGAAGGCTGAAAGGTTCCATTTCTACCTTTTGGGGAGGGACCATTTTGATTTCCTTTGTTTTTTGTTTAGTGTATATATATATATAGTGTGTGTGTGTGCGTGTACATATATATATATACACACATATACACACACCTCTACCCCGATATAATGCGACCCAATATAACACGAATTCGGATATAACGCGGTAAAGCAACGCTCTGGAGGGCCGGGGCTGCGCACTCCAGCAGATCAAAGCAAGTTTGATATAACGCGGTTTCACCTATAATGCAGTAAGATTTTTTGGTTCCTGAGGACAGCGTTATATCAGGGTAGAGGTGTATAAACATATAAAGTCACAACCAGAACATAATGGAATTTTGTTGCATGGGAAATTTCTACTTTTTTTGATTCCCGTTTGGAACTGAATTTTTAGGCATCTTTAAGCACCCAAATACCTTTAAAATCTGGCCCTAAAGCCCATTTAAATCAATAGGAGTCAGGAGCCTAAATACCTTTGACGATCTGGGCGTGATTGTGGCAGAGCAAGAAACTGACCCCGGGCTAGTCCTCCGGGCTGCGCTCTACCTATGCCTCTGGGTGGGGTCAGGTCCCCCATCACAGGTGTGTCTTCTGGTGCCTCTGGAGCAGCGGGTCACTGACACAGCACTTGCCCAGGTAGGGCCCGTCCCTGGCACAGGCTCCCGGGGGCTGGCGGCAGGGTTTCCCACCCCTATGGGTGCGCTGGTGCGTCAGGAGGGTGGAGTTCTGGCTGAAGCCCCTCCCGCAGGCAGCGCAGCGGTAGGGTGCCTCCCCGGTGTGGGTGCGCAGGTGCACAAAGAGGGTGGAGCTCTGGGAGAAGCGTTTCCCACAGCGGGCGCAGGGGTAGGGTCTCTCGCCTGTGTGGACGCGCTGGTGTCGGGTCAGGTTGGAGCTGGCGCTGAAGCTCTTCCCGCAGTCGGCGCAGGCATAGGGCCTCTCTCCTGTGTGCACGCGCCGGTGCAGGGTCAGGTAGGCGTTGCGGCCAAAGCCCTTCCCGCACTCGGGGCAGATGAAGGACTTCCCCTCCTCCTCTGGGGCAGGAAGTAGCTCCCCGGCGTGGGTGCGCTGGTGCCGGGCGAAGTTGGACCGCTCGTGGAAACCCTTCCCGCAGTGGGGGCAGGTGTGGGGCTTCTCCTGGCGGTGGG